ATTCTGCGGAAGCTAATCCAAATTGCCTGTTATCCATAGGCAGAAAATTAAAGGAATATTTAAGCCCATTCCACAGATTACAAACTCCGTGGCATAGCTCTGCAACCAGTAGTATTAGTATCTTGCATTTGATAGTTGCCAATAATTTAAGTCAACTGTTTAACATCTGGCATTACTATATAATGTCTGGCTTAAACTGTAACCTTTCCTCCCCCCCCCGCTTTTAAAATAGCTTTTTCTGCTTTGAGAGCATTTTGATTACTAAAGCCCTTCCCAGGACAGATTTATCCTGTGATTTAACAGTTTGTGATGGAGTCTCATTTTGAATCAGTCGAATAATTGGCAGCGACTTTGGTATTAAACTGATTCATGATGTACATCCAGGCCCTTCAATAATTGAACATTATTGTCTTTATAATCAAAACCCTTTTTGCCCATTAAAAAGTATTGGAAACAGTCTAGTGATCTGCTTTGATTAAAAACAAAGTGCAGAGGATTGGGAATGATGAGGGATGGTCAGTCTTTCCCTCAGGTCAGCTGAAAGGCATTGCTTGGCTCTGCACAGCACCAAGCATGGGCTGATGTGCTTGGTGGTTCACTAAGCAGCAGTAACTGCGGCTGCACAGGGATTTGAACAGTCTCCATCCAAGCGATGAGCACAAAAATACACCCATTACCCCACCAAGCACTGGCAATACCTTTGTGCTCACAGAGTGTTGGTCCAGGAGCAAGGCACGTGGCTGAGGACAGCGCGCAGCACCCCGTTGCCAAGCCCATCAGGTAGCCAGGGATGTTCTCCCCATGGCGGTGTCCAACAGCCTTTGTCTCACTGCAGGGCCTTGGAAGAAAACACTGTGCAGAAACTCGTTTTGATCTCTTCTCTTTGGAAAGCTCTTAATTATAATCAATAAACCTGGGTGAGAAACCGAGGCAGTGCATTAGAGGAGATCTATGGCTCGGGACTAACGGAGGGTGAAGAAGGTGCTTTGGGTCCCAGCGCCACCCGGGAGAGGAAGGCTCAGCGCCGCGGAGCCTCGGCACGCCAAATCAAAAGCTGTCCGGTTCACACTCCACTCTTCCCCGGCCTTTGGCAGGGGCTATGATATAACAGGTTTTGCATAGCTGCTAGACATCTTCCTAATAGTATCCCCTGTGAATTCTAAATTTCAGTCACAGCCTCTAAATTTTCATTAAGAGCAGTCACACAGAGAGGATGATGGATTAGATTTTATTGTTGGAAAATCTCCAGATAAAATTAAAGTGCTTCTTTCTTTTCTGAAACCTTTACCTTTCCCCCGTGGTGCCCTATAAATAAGGTATCAAATAATGTTTATCCTTTTGAGTTCTGCAATCTTACATGTTTCATACTTACTCCTGACCGCTCTCCTGCCTCTTCAGAGATGTCACTCTTCAGTTAAAGACACGCTACCTCATGGACTTTGCTTTATTGCAAAGCAGCCTCACTTTGTGTCCCAGCAGCACTTAGGAGACTCCACTTAAGCCCAGGTACGTATTTGTAAACACACCGTTGTCTCCTTCCTTTTCCTGGAAGGTTTTCTTTCATTTCCTTCCTCCTCCCCATCCAATTCCCTATGTCCTTACTTTTCTTTTCCCTGGCTCTCCATCCTCTCTGCGCACATCTAATCTGTCCAGCTTGCAGACAGATGAGACACCACTTTGGTATACGCTGCGATCATGGGGCCCACTTTCTGCTGGGAACCAGCCGCTGCCTCCAATAGCCAAACCATGATAAGTGGTATCCGCTCCCACTGCCCCTGGCCAGCAGATTTTTATAGCAGATGTTGTTTCTTCCTACAGTGAAAAGGAGAGGAAAAAAAAACCCCCGTGTTCTTTTAAGACCAAGATCTTAAACAGTTTTAGATGCTTTTAGCCTTCACTTAACTAAAAAGGAAGCGCCCTGCAGGCAGTTGGTAGGAAGCGTTCAGGAGCTGGTAATGCTGGCATGATTCATACTGGTGTCAGCTCATTTAAATTAAATTCCACAGGGATTTATCCAGCAATGAGTTTTAGACAGCATCCCCCAGCCCGCTCACTTCACAGCATCTTAAATGAATACAGTGCACAAAGGCCAGGTCTGCAGCAAGACAAATGGCTGGTCGAGAGGAGCTTTTTGGGGTACCACATGGGAAGAAGGGTCCCTGCTTCCCACCATGAGCACAGGGAATCAACAGCCATAAAGGGAAGAGAGAAAAGCAGTTTTTCTGCTGGCGTAACACAAGTCATCCCTGTCAGAGGGGGTCCCCGTGTCCTGAACTGGAGTCCCATGTGGGGACTCAGCCCTGGGGGTTATGTGACTTAGCCTAGGTGACCTCAAAGGACATCCCCCATCCTCAGCAGGGCTGCAGCCAGCAGCAGCACTTCCCCACCCCAGAAGGCTACAGCCGATTTACCCTACTTGGATAGGAAGATAATCCACACTACCAGAGAGCCAAGCCAGCTCCTTGTCTCAGAGATCCACCATGGATCAGCTAGGGCCCAGCTCCCTCGATGTCTACAGAGAAGGTGGAAGGATTTCCATGAGCACACGCTATCCTTCTCCTCCTTACAATGCCTCTCCCCAGGAGCATGCAGGGAGCTGTCAGCACAGGTGATGCGTGGATGTCAAACTCCTTAAAATCATAAGAATTTGACTCATTTGCAGCATTTGGGCATCAGTCCCTTGGTTTTCACTCCAGCTTTGATTAGCCACCACTGCCCTAAGGGCTGGTTAACAGAGAAAGGACCCTAGGGCCCACCGGCACCCATGGCAATTGTCTCTCTCTATAACTGTTTCCCTTTGTCAAAAGCTGCCTCAGAACCCTTCTCACACCAGTGGAAAAATCATGCACGGGCTGGGAAGCACAGAGAACAGGATCCGAGCCTCATCCTCTCCGCTGCATTTTAACGTCATCCCAAAGGAAGCGGCGCGGCCGTGGCCACTTGCAGCAAAGGAAAGCGAAGTCGCTGAGTTTATTGGCCACTTTTATAGGCTTGTCTGTGCCACGTTTCGCAGGCTGCAGTGCCAGAGACGGGGCCTTGGAGAGGCAGAGGTGAGCCCAGGAGAAGAGTGAAAAGCTGGAAAGAGGAACCTTGTAAATTGGGTACCAGCAAGGATGGAAGGGGGCCAGAGCTGGCCGAAATCTGCCACGAAACGAGTGAGATCGCAGCCTCCCCTTCCCTGTGCAGGAGTCACGACGCCCACAGCTGGGAGAGCGGCCAGTGTTATTTTTGGGCAAGATTTATGCAAGCTCCAAGCAGAGTCTCAGCGAAAAGGAAACGAGGGGGAGAGATGGAGGTTTCTTTTTTAACAGAGATGTTGGAAACACATGGGAGTCACGAGCGAAGAGTTCGAGCATCTACTCTGGGGTCGAATACCTCCGGAGTGGACAGACCATGAACAGACCACCACAAACACAACTGTTCCTGAGGAACAGCTAAACCAGGCTCCCCGTCTCTGCCCAGGTCCCACTGCACGTGCTGTGAGCAGGATCACAAGGCCGCAGTCCCACATTAGCTCATGCGAGGAAGCAGAATTGCTTTGGCCATTTCCTAAAAGGCCAGTCTCCATGGATAGGGTGAGAGCAAGCGGCATAGGGAAGGACGGGACCTTTAACTCCGTTTTCACTTGGGAGGGCGGTGTTGATGTTTTAAATGCCATGGATGATAGATAATTGGCAGTGTCTTGCATTCATGAAGTCATTGGAAAGCAAAGAAAAAGCTCCTTTTTTGATGCCTATGGTAACAACCCAGTACTGGGTTGTAAGTGACTCAAGTGATGGAAGGGCACACTCGAAGCCGGGAAGCTGGGAAGCGTGCCCGTGGGCCAGCACACTCAGCAGGGTGTTTCACAAGGATCTGGCCACCATCCTATCCTTGCGCTGCTGGTGAAGTCATTGTGGCTTTGTGCCCCTCTCCTTGTCCCATTCCCAAGAGGATGGGGTAGAGCAGCTCAGCACGTCAGGCAAAACATCATCGTCCTTGTGCCTGATGCCTCTCTGGGGCCCCACTATCGCAGGCACTTGGGAGACAGGTTTGATCTGTCTGGGCTGAGCTTGTGCCAAGTACACACAGAGTGGAGCAGAGGAGCTGAGTCAGGAGCAGTTCTTCACTGGAGGACTTTGTTCATGGGCTCACCTACCCATCACCATGGCTAGAAAGATCCTGGGAAAATGCCATCTCTGCATGGGGAGATGCTGGGAACCACAGGATTCTGGTGGTCCCTTCTGGGAGCAGGACGTCGAGGTCTCTTCCAACCCTATCCGTTCTGTGATTCTGTGATCACAGCAAAATTCCCAGGAAGCTCAAACCCAGGGGATCCTGGAGGGATCTGTGCATTGTTTTGCCAATACACCCTGATTTGCTCTCTCCCTGGGTAATACTAATCTCAGGCACACTCGAGATAAGCCTCAAGACATTACACTGAAAGGAACAGGCAGCCCAAAGGACATGTGTGGCCTTATCTTCTCCATGCATTCATTTGAATAAATCTGTTCCAAAGGTATTTTACATCAGTGTGTTGAAGGACAAACCCTAGCTCGCCTCTAGGGAGTTTGTCTTATCAATGAAGCCTATAGGAGGCTTTCAACTGACTCAAAGAGCACCGGTGTTGCCCTTAGGAAAAGGCTCTGAAAGGTGAAACCCCAGGATGCAATTCCATTTGTGCTCAACCAAACCATCCCTCTGCCTGTGCTCAGCCTTCCTGTTCATAAAGCTCCTGTAATTAATACTGAGTAACTGCTGAGGGGTTTTACAGGTCTTGGTGAAAGGTCTGTTATTGACTGAGATGGGGAAGTTTAACTTGGAGAACATCACTGTGAGTCCAAGGCTTTCAGAAGAGCTTTATCAAATGGAAACTCAATGGTTTGTGGCAATAAGGAAGTTACCTTCAGGGAAAACCACCAAACTGAAGTTATTCCTATAGTATTATATTCCTATATGAATATATTATTATATTCCTATATTTGTATATGATTATATTCTTATATTAATATATCATTATTATATTCCTATACTAATATATTCCTATATTAATATATTCCTAATATATTAGCTGAAGCAGATAGATTGTTTTAGCATGGAGATGTGTATGAACAAAGACCAAAACTCAACCACGTATCCATATATGAGTGAGAACAAATCTCTTTGCTAAGGCATCTCAGCATGGAATCGTGGAAAGAAAACCATTTTGAGGAAAACCATCCCCAAAAATGCAATTCTTTTTTTCTTCATCAAAAATAAGGTTCCGAGTTTTACCAACACAACAATGCTCAAAAAGATCTGGATTAACTTGAAAGCTGCTTCACTTTCACTCCATTTCTTTTGCCCCTCCGCAGGGAACTCCTCGGTGCACAGTTTCCAAATGGTAATGAACAACAGCCCTTTCTCTGTGCCTTTTAGGGCCCGATCCACCAGGATCATCCATAAATATTACTTTAAAACCATTCCTGAGGAGCTCCCGGGGGCCGGGAGAGCAGCCAGTGTCAGGAAGTGTCAGCTCCTGCTCCCTCTCCTCCTCGGGACGCTGGTAGCCTGGTTGGGAAAGAACAGATGTGATAAATGCTGGGAGATTTACAGCACAACCCCCCCCCGGGAGCCATAAACCCACAATTTGTTCAATTTCAAAAGCAGACCTCTGCCCGATGCAGGACCTTTCAGCACTGCTTATAAAGCTGGGCTTAAAAAGCCCGGGATCCTTCATGATAAAATACACCCAAAGTTCACTTTTCAACCATTGCAGTGCCTAAAAGATGGAGGTGGGGCAGCTGGAGGGGAAGAAGGAGGACGGGACCAGCAGATCCTGCCCTGGCCTTGCCCCCGTCTTTCTTTGGCACACAGGTATCCCGTACTGGGCATACTTAAGGCAACGGGGCCAGGAGGGGTTGGAAACTGGTGTAGCAGATTGCATGACACTCAAGGTCTGCTCCCAGATTCCCTGCATGAACCTCGGGTGACCGCTGATGGACCTCATACCTGTTCCTGACCTCCAGTGGGAGGGTAGAAACCCACTCACAACCGAGAAATGGTTTGGTGTCACAGCATGACAGCACCAGTCCAGTCAATCAAACCTGGCCTTGATAAAGCTGTCTGCACAAACACCTGAAGGTCAAGATCACTGTCTGACCTAGCTCCCCCATCACCTCCACATCTAAGATGATCAGCCTTCAGGCAGTCAGGATGCAACACCTCTTTTGGGAGCCTTACACACCACCACCCACAGCGCAAAAGGAGATTCTGGCATTAGACTCAGATGGCTTCTTCACCTCTTCCAAGCCCACAAGTGTTTAGTGTTGGCCTCACACTCAATGTGGCCCCAAACCGAAGCACTGCATCACCCCTTCCCACAGACCTGTGATGTTCACAACGTTGATTTGGCTCCGAATGCTGAGCTGGGTCCTCCTCTGGCATCCCAGCCCTGGAAACCAAGTGAGGAGTGAAGCAACGTTACCCATATAATGCCTGAATAAGAGCAGAGTTCTGCATTTATTGCTTAAGTAGTTTGAAGTGATTGTAATGCAGCCAGATTTATTTCTTATATACAGTGGTGGACTTATTAAACTTCCAGAGGAGCTCTTTAAACTGTCATTTGGGGTTTAATTGCTGAATATAACTCCCTGCTTCTAAAAAGCTGCTGTGCAACAACCCCCCTTCCACTCACCCTCTTCTTCTGCTCCGAAGGAGAAGATCCCCAAAAGCACAAAGGGTTAAAGCTCTGGCCTGCCTAGTCCAGTCCATCCCCTCCTCCCCCAGATCGGGAACAGTAGAAAGGAAAGGATTAGAGGGGAGAGATTTATGGACTAGCCCATCACAGAGCCTCAGTTCGCACTTTGATGATGGGGGAACAGCCCTGCTCCAACAAAGGGGCTGTAAAGCATGCCCACCGGTAGGCTATCTATTGAGGGGAGCCAAATCCCTCCTTGGATTATTAAGGGCTCTGCAAGTCCTTGGAAAGAAAGGCTGCACCTTTTTTATTGCTGCATTATTAATAAAGAGCTGGTGAAATACTTACTGCTGCTCCGTAAATCTTCCAAGGGCAGGAGTAGGTTGCACAGACTTCTGGGCTGGAAGGAAACGGAGGGGCCATGGGGCTTGACCTACATCCCCCATCCCAACCATGGTGAGTGTCTCTGGAGCAGGGACATGGCAGGCGCCCAGCTCCACTCCTGGCACGCTGCGGTGTGCTGGCACTACCCAGCCAACAAGCAGCTGGGGTTGAATATGGGCTCAAAGCAAACCATCATCCATCAGGTTCGGATTTACAGGGTGGGCTGAGAGGAAAGAACAAAATTATAGAAGGGTTTGGGTTGGAAGGGAGCTTAAAGCTCATCCAGTCCAGCCCCTGCCACCTTGCCACCTTCCACTAGAGCAGCTTGCTCCAAGCCCCTGTGTCCAACCTGGCCTTGAACACTGCCAGGGATGGGGCAGCCACAGCTTCTCTGGGCACCCTGTGCCAGCGCCTCAGCACCCACACAGGGAAGAGCTTCTGCCTAAGAGCTCATCTCAGTCTCCCCTCTGTCACTTTGATAGCTCACTCACGCTTCTGCACAGTTACTTTGCTCCCATCACAAGCCCATTGCAATCTGGACACCCAGGACCTGTGTCCCATGCAATGGAACATTTGCTCTCCTATTCTAAAGAGCCATGAAACCCCTGCTTGCTCCAGGTGACCACAGCACCAGAGGGGGGACATCACCCATCCCCTTGCTCTGTGCAGGGCTCAGCCTCCCCTACGTTAGCACCTGTTTGGAACGAGCATCCCCACAACAGCCCGGAGGAGTTGGCCGAGCTTTAGAAAGAGTGCAAATAAATAACCCCTCAGGACTACCAACAAAATGCAGGCCTTGACAACAACAACAACAACAAAAAGTTTCCTTCCCAATTTCAGCTTCTGGCCATAAAATTTTACTTTCATGTAACAGCATGAAATCCGCACAACCGGAGCAGGGGTTTCTAATAAAAGGCACAGCTGATGGAGTACCCGAGCCAAGGTGGTTTTATAAGCCAGAAGAAGAGAGACAGAAACACAGAAGGAAAATAGTTTTCTTGAATTCCTTCCAGAAAGGAATTCTCTTTAGATTCCCTTTAGCCATGCTGGAGTTCTTCCCCTTCTTGCATGGGTTTTCTCCCCTTAAATGCTGTCTCTCTTAACCTGTGCATTAATGCCAGCAAGTCCAAGCCTCTCATTTCTTTTTGCATCTCAGCCCTGATGCATTTAAAGTGTTTACGCACAGAGAACAGAGCAACTTTCACTGAGCTCCACCTTGCCCAAAGCCCAAACCACGTGAAGGAAAATGCATCGTGTCCCGCACCCAGGATAACGCTCCCCTTCCAACGCACAAGCCGACAGAGGGAAAACACTTCCCCATGTCCTAAACTATGAGGTCTGAGAAGAGAATAATGTCTCCTAAAGGGCCAGCAACAGCTCTCAGCTCAGTGAAAAATGACTTCCAAATGCCCCCTGCCCTGGGGATTTTATAAGGGAAGATGGATCTTTCTATCTGTTTTCCTTTCTTCTTCATTTTTCAACTCTTGACCTACACTGTGAACAGAAACCTCCCGGGTGTGAGCCTTAGGAAGAGGAAATGCTTCCTCCAGTTCATTTGTCTTCGGTGGTCTGTGCAGCTGAAGAGACGCATGTGGCCAAAGAGATGCTGTTCCCAACCCTGCCCATCCCGCCCTGCCTGCCAGAGGGTTGGATTTGCGGCTCCATTAGCAGGGATGAGGCTGGCCATCCCTCACCTGGCCCTTTGCAACTGGGAAAACAAGAGTCAGGGCAGCCTTGGCCTCACTTTTGGGCAGTCCAAGACAAAGAGAGGCTGATCTGTTTGAAAACCTAAGGTTAATGTATTTACCTGGGCATGAAGGACCAGAGCGTAGAGCTGGGAAGGGTGTTGTTGGACGCTGCCTTGCAGACACCAGGAGTCCCAGCAGAGCTGCTCTGGTGAACTCCCACAGCCACCATGGTTCAAAGCATCCCTTCTCTCATGTCAGAGCACTACACGAGTCACAGATTCCAGACACAGCTTTCAAATGCCTTATACCCCACGATCCCCAACTCAAGGTTCAAGGGCAACATATTGCCACAAGATGTTCCTGCTCCCAGCATCATTCATGGTCACTGGAAATCACCACGGCAATAACCCCAACAGGGAAAGGATGGTGTGGTTTGCAGCAACCTGTTTGGGACATAATCCAAACTGGATGACTGGGAACCAGTTCCTAAAGGTTTCCGGATGAAGAAAGTTCTGCTTAGCACATTATTTATAACCAAGGTGGAAATAACTAAAATGGGAGGATCTGCATAATTCAGGCCTAAGGGAAGTTCTTTGTTGCATCTTAGACAGCTCCAACACACATTGCCCTGGACACTGTCCACCTCCAGGAACAGAGCAAGGCCTCTGAAGGAAGGAAGGAAAGGGAAGAGGGAGTGGAAAGGAGCATGTCCAGGTCTCCCCACCCAGCCTTTTCCCTCTCTTAATGTGGGGCCCTGATTTTCTTACTGTTTCCCGAAGTGCCTCGAGCATGACCATGGATGGGAACATCTCCTCGGTATCCAGCAGAGCTATTCCATGCAGGCAGCCCAGGTGTTTCACATGGCAAATGGGAAGTGATGGATCTCCAGGAAAACAATTTATCAGCACCTGGTGACCTGTGGAGCTGAAACTGGCTGCACTTGTTCCTGCATGATGCTGCAGAGCTAATGGCATAAGCAGGGGGAAGCACAGATGTGAGCAGCACAGCCACAGACAGCAAGAGATGATGCCTTGGGACAGGGCTCATGGACCTTTGGCTCTTTGGTGCGCCGACAGCATGACTTCCAAGTGGGATGTGGAGAGGAAGAGGCTGGGGGCAGCAGTTCCCATCCTCACCCCAAATTACCTTCGTGGGGAGATGGAGGTGAGGCTGGACCGCATCCTTCAAGTCTGACATTGGCCAAGTCGTGTTCCCTCCTCAAAAGGAACAGAAGCAGAAATGTCCTTGCAAGGTTTTCTCCCTTATGACAGTTGCCGAGAGGCTGCATGAGATGGGCATCAGCTGAGCCCACAAAATGGGCTTTCCACAGCCAGGAAACGGATGCTTCAGATGCAGATTTAGGGAGGGAGAGAGGCAGAACCTGAAGACCCCATTAGATTTCAGTGTCATGGCTTCCATCATGGACTTTGTTGCCCATTTAAGGAGCAGGAGATTTGAGTCCCAAGTTCTCAACTTGGGCCTGTCTCCTTAGAAAAATAAAATGCAAGAAAAGAACCTTTATAGGACAATTTGTTGCTCTCCATGAAGGCTCGAGAAAGCCAAACTGCCCGGCCTGGAGGGCTGCAGCTCTGCTGTGGAAATGGATACGGCAGCATCCTGCCTGCCCTCTCCTTCTTTCAGCAGGAAGATTCCCTTTGGTTTACAGCAGCCCATGCTCCAGGGGAAAAAACAACAACTGCCGCTGTTATTCTTTATGAAGGCAGCAAGAGGGCTGAATAAAAGAGGTTGCATCCAAAGCACAATATGAGATGAAAAAGACATCCAAGCTCCATGGCGCTAGATAAAACAAAGCACGCAGCAAAAGAATCAAATGCTGAAATATGTATTTCTTGTGGGTATGAATAGAACTGTCTATGTTTGCCTTGGAGACAGGGGGAAGGAGGCCAAACGGTTTCATCTCAGCAGGTATTGCTTTTCAGTACAGAGACATCGAGCAATTTAAAGCCCTCCTGCCAGGCCATTTCAGCAGTCACAGCGGTGCTCTCGCTGAGCTGGCTCATGGAGAGGTCACCTCCGTGCTGCAGCCCATGCACAGGTAGATGCCCTCACACCTCTTGCCCTATCACAGATGTTAGCAATAAGAAAAGGCCAACAATGTCAAGGTAAATCAGCATCTCCATGAGCTTTATCCAGCTATCACCCTGCTCCTCCCAGCACGGCTCCCACACTGGGCCATGCCAGACTGTTCGCTGCCACCTCACTTCCCTGACCTCAGGGACTTTGGACTGGAGGGCAGGGAAATGGGATTTGTTCTGGTGGGCTGTAAAGCACTGGAGAGCAGATAGCCATTATCCCCGATATCTCTAGCAGTCCCATAAGGACACACAGCAACCAAGAGCCACAGATTTATGTCTTCTTCCTCCAAACAACCTTGCCCACTGCCATCCCATGACCACGTTTCCCTCCATCTCTGATCTTGCCCCTCTACATGCTCACAAGTTGTCTCAGTGTGCCCAGCACCAGGAGGGTGACACCATGCCAGCATGGCCGTGATATCACACAGTGCTCTCCTCTGCCTAGCAGGCAGGAGGGACCCATCTGGTGCTGCGTGATGAACAGGGCAGAGGAGCAGGGCCAGGTCCCAGAGGTGATGAGTGAGTGCAGCCAGTCGTTCAAAGAGGTGAAGGCAGAAGGTCTCCAGGTGTGAAGGCGCAGGAGCAGGTGCCCCGTGAATGTTTCCCATGTGTTTGCCTGGAAACTGGGATGAGCTCATTGGAGAAGAGCCCTGTGGATGCTGAGCGCACCCAACTACCCACCAGCAGGTTGGGCACGTCGGCAGTTCTGATACGCTGTGCTTCACAGAAAGTGCATGGTTGGGTTTCACCATCTGCTTCCCTCACCCTGGAGAGCATCAGCATCTCCCCTGTCTCTGAGCAGCCCATCCACATGCCGAAACTCGGTGCCTGACAGTGATGGAGAGCAGAAGCAGCTGATGAATGACATTAAGCACAGGAGGAGGTAGGAGATGTTTCCTAGCTAACCCGTTCCTCCTGAGCAAGGCTAGACCTGCTCCAGTGTCTCCTCTCTGGTGGTTTGGGCCAGCCCGTTACCCAACCTTGTTGCTGTTCATCTCCATAGAGAAGCCAGGTGGCCTGAGAGCACCCCCATCCTCCCTGGGCACGTTGCCACGTTGCCTCCTGTACCACCCACTGGTTCCCCCATGCTTTGAGGCTGAAAATATGGGTTTAATAATGTGTCCATAAATCATTCTGTCCATTGCAGCTGATACTGGCAGCGGTGCTGGGAACAGGCCCAAACTTCCCAGGTGCAGGAAAGCCAACACAGTCAACCCCAGAGCTGGTGCCACAAATGGTGGCTCCCATCAGCCCATGGCATGAAGGTGACTACCAACGAGACCCAAAGGCAGTGGGCACCATCAGTGCAACCCACCCTCCAGAGAAGCAAGGGTGGGACCCAGGGCCCTGAGTAAATGGTACCATGTGAGATGCTCTGGGGTCTCAGGACAAACCATGGAGCTGCAGGTTCTATGGGACACTTGAGCCTGCTGGAAGAGCAGTTGGAGGCCAGGTAAGGTCCTGCAGAGCACCTCAATGGCACCAGGCACCTACATTCAAGCACCCAAAATGTGCCCAAGGTCTTGACATGGGACCTGGGTCTCGGCTCTGGCATCAACTATTAATATCACACAAGGATAACCCTGTGGTGAACCTACCTGTGCATCCTCAGCCATCACAGACCTGAGCTCATGAGTGTCTGGGAAGGATCACTGCTGTTATAATCCCTCTTCTGCAGCCAAGGAACTGGAGTACAGGGAGATGAAGTAACCCAACCATGTTACTGTGGTTCTTGGCAGTCTGTGGTCTGCCTCAGAGCACTGCACTGACGGCATCTGCACATGGGACACATCTTCTCCCCATTCACAAGACCACAGGACAATCCTGCTTTCTCAGCAGCACCGAGAGCCACAGCAGAGATGCTGTTGGCAGAGATGGCACCACCTCAGTGGCAGCAAAAATCCCTTAAGGCTGCCTAAAGAGAAATGTCATGTCAAAACGACTGCATCAACATGCATATTTTACAGCTCTCCCTAGATTTTTGCTATGGATTCTCCCAACGGAGTCCCACCGGCCTCTGACAGACACAGGATACGTCTCATGACAGATTGGTTGTTTTAAAGGGATCCTGTTCTCCAGCTCTAATAATTTGGGAAGCTCATTTGCAGCCTTGGAAGCCGTTAGCCAGCAATCCTCTGAGCCTGCACTGGGTCTGCAGCCTGTCGGGCTCCCTCGTCCCCGAGCATCCATCACTCTCACACCTCACTCCTGCACTGACACTGAAACAACAAGTGAGATCCTGCACCGGTGCAAAGCAAAGACCCGCAGCTGCACGGCAGGGCAGTTCCCCAGTAAATAAACTGGTTGGGATGACTCTTTCCCTGATCTTATGATGGATGATTTCAGATTCCGAGCGTTGGCTTGGGTTCAGGGCAAGGGATCCTGTGATGAGCAGCACCCCAGCACCACAGCCCAGACTCTCCCATTCACCCTGATCTTTCCATCGCCTCTTTGCACTCAGCAGTGATGACAGAAAAGGCAAGAGAAGTAAAGAGAGAAGAAGAAATCACAGCAAAGACATACACCTGGGGCACGGTTTTGCACCACAAGGCCCGTTTGCTGCCCATACAGACATCTGAAGGGCAGAAACCATCCCCACACTGAAGGCTTTGACTCTTCCCAGCCTGTTTCTTTGTCTCTGGCGCTCAGAGGAGGGATGGGAAATGCAACCGTCTGAGCGCGATGTCTTCGCAGTGGGACTTCACCTGATATCAAGGCAAGAAGAGGGGTTTTCACCTGATCCTGGAAACAATGCCATCCATAGAAGCCCACATTGTTACCTTGCCATTTGGAAGCAATTACCTGCATGTTATGTAAAACGCTTTATGAAACGACTGGAGAAATTCAGTAATGTGTTAATCATGGCTTGAATGACATCTGCTTAATACCAGAGCTTTCTGAGCTGCAGGAGGAGGGGTCAGCAGTTCAGAATGATTACCAAAACATATTGCTCCTTTTTGCCTTCTCCTACGTGTTAATTTTTCAGATTTATTATCTTAGGCTCCTGCCCTGAGTATTTTCACTGCATGTCAACATCTGTTATATCTCTGCATTTCACAGCTCTTTAGGCTTTGCCCCATGAAGCCTTAGGCACTCGGATGAGAGGCGCAGCCAGCTCTAACTTAGGGCTTATGCAATTTTCCCAACTAATCCAAAGGACAATTGCAAGGGAAATTTGGCTCCTGGAGGCATTTAAAAAGGCATCGGTAGATGGACTCCAACCCAAAGGAACCAGGCAGGTTTAGAGACAAACTTGGCTGTCAGGACAAGACGTGGTACATGTGGGATGCTGCGAGTCTGCTGCTCTTTGAGAAACATGTGGTGGTGGAGATGGGTCATGGAAAGATGCTCAGTTCATTTCCACTCCTTTTCTTTGCTCACACAAACTGGAGTCATTCCATAAATGCCAGAAAATCCTCCAGGGACGCTCATCTTTTTGAAATGCAGAGCAAGGAATAAGGGATGTTCTGCCCAAGCCATTGTGGCCAAGGGGCTTGACACAACCATGGAGATCTGGGACCTGGCTGGGACATGGGGCTCCAGTCTGGGCACAGAGGTGGGGGACAGGACACTGCCCATAATAAACCCACAGTCTGGCCTAGGATTCTTCCTGATTTCCCTATTTTTGGGGAAGGGTGAGGCTTACAAACACAGTGCTAACATTTACCTGCTGGCAAAATCTTTTCCCTCATCTCCCATTCCTGTCTTCCTGGGGCTGCTTTTGCTGGCAGACACATAGGGAAGTCCCTGTCCCTGCTGTCTGAGATGCAGGCAGGAGCCTCCTGCCCATCACCAGCTCTTACCCATGGGAAACCAGCCTCTGGCTCATCCAGGGGGAATCTCCACCAGGCTCCCATTAGCTCCTGGGGACAATGTGGCCTCGGCCTGGGGATGGAGGGAAGAATCATCCTTGGGATGCCAGGATTCTTCTCAGGGCATCAGTCAATGGAGCTGTGATAGAGAAAGTCTCCCTTAACATGACTGAAGAGACATCTTTATGCAGTGCCCCGGATCATGTTCCAGAAGGCATTCACATTATATATAACCCAAATGATTTCTGCTCCCAACCATCAGCCACATTTCTGATTTATGCTTTTCTGATGACTTTATTCCCTCACCCATGATCTGCCCCTTTTCCCAATCAGAATTACAGCTTCCATTTATCATTTCTCTGAGGATTGCTATAATTCAGCCGTGCCCCATCTCTCCCGCTTCACCCGACACACACTTTCTGTCTACCTCCCTTTGTAGTTGTGCTGTTTCTGTAACCTCACACATCTTTCACCATCCTCTTTTTCTGCGGGTGAAATAGAACATAAAATAACCCCAGAATCCTTCAAGGCCACCTCCAAAAGTGCAGAACTGTATCACATCAAATAAAACTTGTGTTTTATTTAACAACAGAACTTCCTGTTCCTGCTTTTTTTGCTGCTTTGCTTAATAAAATGCGTTCAACAATTAGCAGCAGCTTGGACAGGCAGGTAGTTCCACTTGCTGTCTTTGGAACAGTGATCCCTTTTTCCTCCAGATCCATTAACCTGTGGAGGGTTCACGCCATTTTTCTGAGAAGCACACAGAGAAAGGCACATCCCGATGCTCTGCTTCCTGTCCCTGTGCTGCCATGAGCCTGAAAACACTCATTCCTAATAAACTCCTGCCTGGAGTAATGAAATCATAAAGAGGTGGGAATGGCTGCATTCCCCCAGGCTCATGGTCCCATATCCATCCTGTGATGGTGGCCAGTGCACTTCAGAGGGAAGCAGAGACAACCCTGTGCCCAGGGCAGTGCTGGGATGAGCTTCTCCACAGGGAGCTTCTGCCTCCCCTGGAGCAGAGTCTGGCTCCAGTCTGTGCTGAGAGCAGGGCAGGAACCCTTCCCATGCTCCGAAAACTGATGGAAACAAAAGGGTTTGCTGCTGGTTGGGATTTGTTGTGTTTTGTCAAAAAAATTCCTCCGTTTTCTCCATCTCGGAGCACAACTTCCCAAGCTTTCCATGAAAAAGGCAAAATACCGAGTGGTTGCTACCCAGGATGGGGTTTTTCAGCACTGATTTTGAGTAGAAAAACAAGGAATGCTTGCAGACGTTCACTGAAACCTTCTTCCAAGCACAAAGAGGGCAGAAATGCCGACATGGAAGCGTAACCGATGGGCAAGAACTTTTGGAAGACTCTGCTTTAGTCTTGCATATTAAATCCAGAGCTTCAAGATGCTGCTCTGTACTTAAAGATGATTTGAAAGCACTGAGCTCTGGCAGTTGTTCCCCTGCACAAATGTGTGACCTTGGATGACACCGACCTGCCAAAAAAGAAGGGGAAAAAGAAGGTGTTGCTGATCGTTATTTATTTAATCCTCCGATTCCTCATTCATCATCAGGTAAATTTGCTCTTGGCAGCGCCGGCAACTTCCTTGACCGCAGCCAAGGTGACCACTAAAATTAGCATCAAATCCCAGCAACGCTTTACGTCATGGACACGTTATTTTTCACTGGACACAAATTGGGAGGTGTTTCGCCTTTGTTTTGAATCCCGGGGGATCGGGTCGTTACTCTGGGCATTGCTCCATGCCGGCGACGGAACCGGCCGATGCAACCGGCTCCAAATGTGGGTGTTCAGCTTTTTGTTTCAGTGGAGAGGTTTTTTCTGAGCCCTTGCCAAGATGAATGAGTAAAAGCTCTGAAGAAACGGCCCTGATGGAGACCTCGGACAGTAAAACACCATTTTCATCCTCTCTCATAAATACTTTGCTTAATGAAAAGTCCTCGAGGAGCACATTTCCCTGTCAGAGCCAAGGAAAACAAACGTGTGCGTGGTTAAAGAGCACCGAGAGCTGTGAACGCCAACAGCCCCCCCCGTGTCCTGGTGTTACCAAACAGCTCCATCCCCACCCCTGCTGGAGACCTCCTCGTCATTCCCAGGTAGGAGAGCAGAGGGATGCTCTTTTTCATCATGCTGGGAGTTCAGTCCTCACTTCCACACTGCTTTAACAGGCAGGAAACACAGACTTCTCCTCAGCAGAATACAATGCTTGGCTGAGGTGGATGTGAAAGGCCCATGGTGAGTGGGACAGCACAGGCTGGGGTGGCAGTGGGTGCCCAGTGGACATCCAGCCATGTCCTCTCTCATCCCTAGGCAAGATTTTGAGCTAGAGAAGAGAAGCAAGGCAAGTAGTGTTAATTACAAGATGCTTGTAATTAACATATAGGTGAAGCATCATCCAGGGATGCTCACAACTCACCGGGCTGGTGTCCTAGGAGCCAGAAATGTGGAGAGATGGAAGGTGAGGGCAGGTAACGGAGCATCACACAGTGCCTGAGTCTGGAGAAGGGGAGTTTATGACTTGCTCCATAATGTGCAGGATCCAGTTAGCCACAGACCTCATCCTTCTTGTCCTCTGAGGAAGCTGCAAGCATAAGAATGAGGAAAAATCCAACCCTGGAGACATTTGAGGCCAGGCTCGATGTGGTTTGGGGCCACCTGATCTAGTTGAAGATGTCCCTGCTCACTGCAGGGGGGTTGGACTGGATGAGCTTTGAAGTTCCCTTCCAACCCAAACTGTTCTTTGATGCTAAAAAAGCCATCAGCAATGGGAAGATGAACATTTCCTGCAGGAGCAGCCAGCAGGGATAACACCTGAGACTGACAGTCCTGACATCTCCAGGCACCACCCAAAATGATGGTTTAAGGTCATCGAGTCCAGCCATAAACCTAAATTATTTTAAGAAGCTGATCCCTGGGGATCACATAACCTGTGAGCGTGCCAGAGTCACCTTTGTATGGGAACAGGGGACAGGAACACCAAAGGGTCAGAAGCCTGCGGTGCCAGGCTGCTCTGCAACACCCACCTGCACCTCAGTGCAGCCCCAGTACATGAGAGCCCATTCCTGGGGCTGGGACACTTCAGCTGGGCAGAAGCACCAGGGTCCCATCAGAAACAAGAAATTCAATGGGCTGCTGAGGAGCTTACTGATTTCAAATGAAGGAACCCCTAGACAGCAGGAAGGGGGGCCTGGGGATGCCATGGACATGGTCCTACCTATTGAGATGCTGATTTCATGGCGCTAAAGGGGTTGGGGTATAGGGCGGGGGGGGTGTCATGGTGCACTAGAGGGCACTGTCGCCTGCATATCGTGACAGGGGGGATGTGGAGGATTTGTAAAGATGCCCTGATAGCCCACAGAGAATATAGGAAAAATCATAGAGTGGTTTGGGCTGAAGGGACCTTAAAGCTCCTCCAGCTCCAACCCCTGCCATGGGCAGGGACACCTTCCACCAGAGCAGCTTGCTCCAAGCCCCTGTGTCCAACCTGGCCTTGAACACTGCCAGGGATGGGGCAGCCACAGCTTCTCCAGGCACATCTGCATCACAGCCTTTGCTGTCTAACATCTATCTATAGTATCTATCCCTCCTTCTCAGGCTGCAGAGGGATGGTGAGAACTTCCTGGGTGCAACGGTCAAACCTTTGCTCTCTGAATACTGCAATAGCTTTTTTAACACATTTCAACCCAGAAACACTCAGCCTTGCGCCAGGTCTGGATGTAACCAGGTTGTTTCCTGGGCTGGAGATGGTCAGACCTTTGGAGGGTGCAGCAGAGCTGTGTGTCTTCCTCTGGATTTCTCCTTTATAGATGGGATTTTGTTTGGGATTTTGGATGTGAGCGACAAGGAGCAGCCCTGGGAGGGGAGGAAGGCAGCACAGGGGCTGTATAGGCAAAAACCATCATGTTAAAGAAACTAAATGAACAAAGAAGCAAATCCTGCCCCTGCAATGCATCCTTCCCTGGGGCTGGCTGTTCCAGGGAGCAGCCAGACGGGACGGGAGCAGCTCCGATTTCCATGCATGCAGAGACAGAACACAAATTCCCCAGCTGGAGTTGGGCCAGGAGCCCAAGGCTGGAAGTGCCACAAGGCTCCTAACCACGAGGTGGTCAGGATTTGGGTTTTACATCACACCTATTTGTAGAGGAAGAGATTAAAGGCCTCGTGGACTCCTACAAAATCCCCAGTAGCAGCAGCTCTAGTGACTGGAGTCAAATCGGTTCCAGACTGAGACCTTCCATTCGTGGAGACCATTTAGAGGAAAAACAAGGAGAATATTCCAGTTGCTTCCCCAAACCAGTGACTTCTGAGCTCCTGGCACTGTTGGTGAGGGCTGGAGAGGAGTCTATAGGCCGGGAGATGTTTCTGAGTGACCTCACTGCTGCCTTTCACACCATTCCACAACAGTGGCCATACATGCCAAAGGGACAGAGAAAATCCTGACTTACATCATGTAGACATCCTGTCTTACCTGAGCTGCACCTCTGGAGCGTGGGGCCGTTGGGAACAGCTGTAGCTCAGGCTGCTCTGAATCCCAGCTCTCCCAGAAGAGCTCAAAGCGTGGGTGAGGACCTGATCCAATGCGGAGCATCCATTGGGAGACCATGGCTGTGTGGAGACTGCACCCCCCGAGCTGAAGCCAAACCCAAACTCCCCAGGGTTTGTTCTGAAGAAGTGACCTAGCAGGAATTAAACTCCCCAACCCGCTCGATGCCTTCGGAAGATGCTGTGTTTCTGGAGGGGTGTGATTTCAGCAGGAAGGGCTGAGGAAGAAGGTGTGAGGTGTCCTTGGAAGCTACGTGCTCCTGTTTGAGACCCTGCAGAAACAGGAGAAACAGCTTTATGGGGAGGGGACCACCAAAGAGGATGGGTGCCCCCCTCCATCCCCAGCGAGCAGATATTATCTGCTAGAGCTTTCTTTCCAGTCTTCTTTTCAAGACATGATGTCAGGGCTCTAATAACCTGACTAAGGCAAAGCCCTGGATGGAACTGCTATTGTGTTTATCAATTTCCTTTCTTCTTTTCTTGTCTCAGTTAATCATGGAACAACGTGATGGAAAAGTCCTGTTAGACCAACCTGCCTCCCAGCCAAGGCAGGACTGATCCCTACATCCACCGTCTCCTGTTTCATCCAGCCTATTTTTAACACATCCCCAGTGACAAGACTTCTTGAGTCACAGGAGCGAGGAATGGAAAAGACCTATTAGATCATGCAGTCTGTCTCCTGGCCAGTGCAGCCTGTTCCCTGCAGCCCAGTTTTTAGTGGTTTAGCTTCCACCTTTCTTTCCCTCGGGACATTATCCTGCTGGCTAACAGATCCCACACTCAGGTTCGCTTGATGTCATGCTGGAAAGCAGGAATGTTCCTCAGCTGAAGGTGCTTGAAGACTGATGTGTGGGATGGGAACAGGGCGAACGACCTGTCCTGCTCCACGAACCCTTCATGTTCCCTTGTGCTGATGCTGTGGCCAGCACAAGCTGGGCAGACCAACCTCAGACAGACAAATTAGCTCTGCAGCATCACTGTTAATTGGCTTTTAGGCAGGAAAGGCACGGAGCTGCCTGCAAATAGCCTGCCCACAGCACACGAGTGCCTGCACACCTGCACATCCCTATGCAATCACCCCCAACCTGCTCTGCTTCCCCCAGCGTGATCCCTCGGCACCATGCAGGCAGCTTGGATGGGTGCTGGGGGCTCCCATTGGGTGCATGGAGCAGCCCAGACAACATGCCCGAGCCACGAGATGCCCTTTATCCCTTGCGGCACGCGGTTTTCGGCTCTGCCCCAGCCCTTATCTGCCTTGAGTAATGCAAAAGAATTGGTTACTCCCCAGTGGACTGATCTAATAGCAGCACGAATAAAGTTATTTTGAACAGTTGTTCATGAGTTCATCTCCTGGAAAGCCTCAGCCCCAGCTGTTGCTGTGCTTTTGATTAAAATATAGAGAAAAAACATTAAACTCAAACTGGGGATTAGCAGAGCTGAGCACGTCCCAGCCCTCCCTCCTCCCCGTGTCAGGTGCCCGGCCGGGCTATAAACCACTCTTTGTGTGCAGCTCCCTCACCCCTTTCTCTCCGAGCTGGCACCAGCGCCGCTGGGATTTGGCAGCGCTCGGCTGTGTGCCGATAGCGGGATGCGGGATGCTGGCAGCGCCGGCGCGGCTCGCGGGTGCCCGGCTGGCAGGGGTAGCGTGCAAATGGTCAGCCAGGCCTCCAGCCAAGTCCATTTGTTAATGGGCGAGCTATGGGGAACTGTTCGGGGAGAGGCAAATTGAATTAGGCACGAGCAGGGATAAAGGGAGGGTGGGAGCGGGGATGCGGGTCCATGATCACCCCTCTGGGACTGTGACCTGCAGCAGACACAAGCAGAAGTGCAGCCCCACGCAAGCCCATGGTGGTGGTGGTGGGGTGTCCTCTCCGGGATATCTAAGTCTCCACCATAAGCAGCTTGTGGAGGAGCTGGGAAGCAGGACTGACCCACAACCCATCCAAAGCAATAACCACCACTCGTGCACCACGGACAAGCTCTGAGCCAAAGGCTGACCACAGGGCAGGGATGTGCAGGCTCCCCGTGCAGGTCATCCCACACCTATGCCCTATTCCCGGGGTCTGTGGGTGAGCAGGGAATGCAGCTCCTCCTCCCACCCTGCAGCCCATATGTTTTGCTGCTCCGTGGCCGCCTGCCTCTGCAGACGGTGAATCAGCCTCGTCGCTCCAGCAGCAAAACCTCTGCAGGCTTTGTTTGTAAAACCCTAACCCCTCGGATAGGCAGGAGAGCGCAGGATGGAAGCATCCCCTCTCCCCTCCACAGCCAGGATGAGCCCATAGCCAGCAGCGTGGTGAGAGCCAGGGCTCAGGCTCTGAAAAGTCAGCGCCGGAGCAGCTTGTCTCGCTCCTCTGGAGTCAGCTCCCACCTCCTGCTCCGATGTTTGGCCAGGACAACCTCTGCTCTGGCAGCAGCGGGTTCAGGATGGGTGGGAGATGGTGCCGTGATCCCCACTAATGCCCCTCTGCCCAGCACTGCAGGGCAAGGGGACAGTGATGCTGCAGCTTCCCCCTTGCCATCAACATCTGGGTGCACTCAGTCCCTTCTCTCCAATGTAAAATCCAGCTGGACACATGTCCCGGTAGCTGGATGGACACCAGTGCTGGGCTGGGAGAGGTGTGGGTCACCCCCTTCCCACATCAGTGTGGACTTTGCTGCGCTCCAGCTGAGACCCCTCTAGAAGGGCTGGATTAGCAAGCCTGGACATCTGGAGCAGTGCTTGCTGAGGCAGAACTATTACAGAGGGACCACGGAGCAGACACTGGGAGGTGTTCTTGCTGAGACAGACAGGGGATATGGACAATAAAGAAGAGTTTCACACTTAACTTTCCTTGTCCAATCAATTAGGTAATGACAGAGTTATCCCACACGTCCGCCTAAGGAGGTCTCTCCTCCTCCTGAATAGAGATAATTTTAAAAGCAGACCGATGAACTCACACCAATCATTGTCCTGAAGTTGGGAAAGCTGGGGAGAAACACAGTGAAACAGGGAGAATCGGATCAAAAGGCAGGAAAAGATGCTTAATACTACCAAACCCTGCATGCATTTGAGGCTGAACATACATACTGCCTTAAAGCTGAACTATATGGTTGCCCATATGGAGATGTGTGCAGCTGGGCTAAGTCATTGCTAAACCAACTAAATTAAGATATTAATCCATAATATCCGAGTCTCCTTCTCCAGTTCTCTTCCCTGCTTTGCAAAGAGAGATGCTGTACCCGAAGCAGCGCAGTTTCTAGAAGCAAGTTTCACACAGCATCCCCCTCCCCTGGCTTTCTCGCCATGGCTCTTATTTTCCTTTCCAGCATCAGCATCTAAACATCTGGGTCGTGGTGGAGCTCAGAGCTGGAAGCGACACAATATAGTGAGAAAGGATGTTTTTGTGCTATTTCCAACCGTCCCAGAACAGAGAACTTCAGAAACCCCTTCACAAAGGCTGCTTTCTTCCTCGGGGCTACTCTGAAAAGATGGGTCGAATCCTCAGTTATCTGCCTGGACCAGGCTTGTACAAGACAGAGACGATCAAACAGGAGGGGGAAGGGGATGATGAAAACACAGCCAAGTGTGGGTTTTTGTTTGTTTCTTTTAGCTTCTTTTGGTTAAAACTGCAGTTCTGGAGCACCTCCAGGCTCCTCTGTGCTTGGGGAGGATGCGGAATCTCAATGATTTACTGAAGATCCCCACTGATATTTCAATTTGTTGTTTTATTTTTTTTTTCCCCACACTAAAATTCCAGTTTCTTGGTGAAATGTTGAAATTTTGGGGGCTTTTTGGGAGCTTTTTTTGGCCTTTTAAAGAAGCTTCACTCCTCAGCACGCCCCAGACTCAGCTGGCCATTGATGCTGGTTGGAAGAACCAGGCCCTCTGAGCATCCCTCACTGGCAGCCAAAAGCCCTGGATGGGCTTGACAGGCACCAAAGCTGGGTTGGGAATGGGGACAAGGAATTGTGCCAGTTTCCCTCCTCCATCCAGAAAGGTGGTGAAAGACACTAAGAGACCTGGAGTCTCCTTAAACTCTGCACCCAGTGGTGAGGGTGATGCTCAGCTCAATCCCCCTTCTCCTACCCGTTTGGGTGCTCCAGAGGACGCTGCACCTGCGGGACAGACCCAATACCAACACCAAAGTGATGCGAGTCCTGCTCCCTCCTCCGGAGCCCTCTGGGACAAGAGGTTATTCCAGCTCCTCGGCATGAGCTCAGTGTTGAGCCTGTTTGGAGGGGGCTGCCAGTGGGAGCAGCGCTGCCAAGCCCGATGCAATGCGGTTGTTTCGGGAGGTGGAGTCTGTCTGCGGAGCGCTGGCCTGCGCGATGCGTTGGCTGGTGCTCAACTATGTCCCTGTGATGCTGACCGAAGGAAGCCCCATGTTTCACCTCCTTCCACACATCCCCAAGGCTAATCCCCAGCTGCCCGGGGGCAAACCTCCATTTTCCAGCTAGTCTCCAATTGAGGAACCGGATCCTCTTTGCCTGCCCCCAAGCCTGCCAGCAAACACTTGTGCACAGCAGCTTGTCCCCCACAGGGAAAGCTCCTGGCCCCATTCTTGCTCCTGCACACAAGAGCCCATGTACAGTTGATTACCAAAGTCCTGCCCTGCCTTCCTTCTCCTCTGCGTGCCCTCACAACCTTGGCAGGGTTCCTAAGGGCATCCCCCTGCTACTTCTCCCACCTCACTCCCTTTAAGGATACAACCCCCTGTCAGGAATGCTTGGAAACACCAGGGTTTATTGCCATACAAAGCTGCATCCCACAGCTGCTTAAAGCATCACCCAAACAGCATGAGCAGCTCTAAGGAGAAATGGACAACATGGATAAAGCCAGCCCTGTTCAGAGCATCCTCACAGTGGTACCCACGTGTGCAATGCTGGCCAAGCATCCCCATTGCATCCCAACCCCTGCCATGGTCATGGGATCCCTGGCGTATCCCTGGTGCAGCAGAGCCCAGAGAGCCTGAGCAGTGTGGTTTCGTCCCCATTCGGCAGAAGACACACACACCTCCCTGCTCTGGCAATGGTACCAGGTACCAAACGGAGCAGAGATGGGAAGAACCCAGCCCTGTGTTTGCCTCAGCCCACAGAGCTGCCAATTCCCAGGTACTGGAAAACCAGGCGACATCACTTTTGCAGCACATCCCTTGTTGCAGGCAGCCCAAGAGTCAGAAGAACATATTTTGTCATGTACATAATCTCCAAGTAAAAAACCCCTCATCTTCTGGATTCCCAGACAGTACACTCAGCATCCTCATGCTACTGATGTAATCCTGGAGGAAGGTCC